ACACACTGCTCAAAAAAAAATAAAGGGAACACTTAAACAACGCACGCTAAGTCCAAGTAAATTAAACTTTTGAGAAGCACATTCAACTCTGTACAGAACAAAGTACTCAATGCGAATATTTCATTGATTAAGATCGGGAGTTAGCGTGCGTTGTTTAAGTGTTCCCTTTATTTTTTTTGAGCAGTGTATACATATTGTTGGAATGTTGATTRACAGGAGTTTGGGCGGGGTTCTGGTTCAGACTGCCGTCGTCACGTCCAGAAGCTGAACGCCGCTAGAGGAGCTCTTGACGAGCAGGAGCGCCGTACCTGCTCCCTATGGTAACCACTTATTCTAATTTGATAGTAAATGTTGGACCGTGCCCAGGTGTTCTGAGCTGGCTCCGCCTCCTGATTTATTGTTTGTTTACAGGGAGCAGGAGAAGGAGGAGCAGCAGAAGGAGGACCAGGTGAGACAGGTGTGTTCTGTTTTTACAGCTTTCACAAAACCCAGGTGAGGGATTAAACCTGAATTTGATGGTTATTCTGGCTTAAATTATCCTTTCAAGTTTCATCGAACTGGTAAAGGACTAAATACTTTGTATAATTATTTTCTGAAGTTAAACAGCCAGGTTAGTTCTTTAGTGAATGGGCCTCCTGACATCTCAGCAGGTGAAACAGGTGAGTCGCTGGAGCAAGTACCTGAACAGACCTGAGGAGGCGGAGCCAGAAGAACAAAACACACCTGAAGAGCTGGAGTTAGAACAGGATGCTAGAAAGACTGGTTTGACGGACAGCCTCCATTTCCATGACACCAGGAATGCCAGGTGACTTTTGAGCATACTGAAGCAGGCTCCGCCCACCTACCTGTCAGTCTGGTAAATCACAAAAGCAGCGTTTCTTTCTGATCAATAATTCTTCTGTCACAGGAAGCGACACAGATCAGAAGAAAGCACAGACACCTACCGCCCATCTGCACAGGTAGCCTGCTGACATCACTTCCTGTCTCCATGCTAAGCTATGCTAACATTATTATAACAATAAACATTGAAAGAAAGCATCTTTATTCCAGCCACTACCTCCAGCAGCTCCTGGTCCCAGTGGCTCCTCCAGGTGGGATTGTTTCCTCCGTGCTGATGGACAGCAGGAGGAGGAGCCTTCTGTTTGTGGGCGGAGTCAGTCTGGTGCAGCTACGAAGCTCTGTCCCCAGTTTCCTGTTCGCTCCATGTTTGAGAGCGGCGAGGAGTTCAGCTTTGATGATTTTCTTTAATGTTTACATTTCTGATGTTTAGATTTCTGATGTTTGTTTACAAGTTTGACACTTCAGACTCATCTCTTGTTTAAGAGTTTTATTGACATAATTAAAGATAAAACAATTAGAAGTAATAAACGAGTAAAGGTTTCTGTTAATTTTTTAACATGTTTTGGTCTCAGACTACAGTAAAAGGAAACGTTGCAGACGGTGACATCACTGGGGTGGGCGGGGCTGCTTGGCGTACTGGATGGCATCGAGTGCGGCCCCGATGTCGAAGTTCTTCGCCTGAAGGAGTCGGGTCAACCAGCCGCCCTCGTCTGTGAAACCCATGGACAACATGGCCGACAGAGACTCCACCAGACGGGGGTCCGCCTCTGAGGGAGCGGGGGTGAGGGGTTAATGGGGGGGCGGAGCCAACAGAGAAACTTTGTGTGGAACTGTGCTCACCTCGAGGCAGGTGTGGGTAAAGAGCCGCCTCCCGCAGACCTGTGGTCTTCTGCTGCTCTTCTGGTCGAGGGTCCTGGTTCTGGTCCTGACCCCCTGGCTGCTGAGACTGCAGCTCACCTGTAGACGGGTCCACCTCTTTGGAACTCAGGTGAGTCCACTCTTCATCAGAGTCTCGGCTCGCCTGCAGAGTCAGAAGTTCTGATCAGTTTTTGGTCAGACTGGTTGGATTTTACAGTTTCTAAGAGGAAAACAAACTGACCTTTGGTCCCTGTTTGGCTCCGCCCTCAGAACTGGCTCCGCCCTCAGAACTGGCTCCGCCCTCAGAACTGGCTCCTCCACCTTCGGTGCTTTCTTCGTTGCCACCTTCCATTTCCACGTCACCCTGCTCCCCACCGCCCTGGGGGGGCGGAGTCACCTTAGTTCTCTGGCCTTCGTGCTCCACGTCAATGTCCACGTCTATACCTGCAAAGAAACATGGGAAGATGACATCACTTCCTGTCATAGGATTTGGTTCAGCCAAACAGGAAGTGACATCAAAGGGGAACTCTAATAAAATAAACTCTGGTCTTTGTTTATTAAAACAAAAATTATTTAAACTTTAACTTTTCTTTGATAAACTGATTCTTCTCTACAGTCTGTTAGCTGTTGTAACAACGCTCTGTTTACATTCAGACATTACCCTATGACATCACTTCCTGTTTCTTCATATGCAGATATATCAACAACCGTTTATCTCAGCGACGTGAAATTTGATTTGCAATATTTTATCGATGTCCTCTTTCCAAAAATGCATTCGTGTTGATAAGAAAAATTTGACGTCACAGGAACTTTAAAAATGGGTTAAATAGAAGAATGAGCACTTTCAGCCATGTTGGAAACAGGAGAAAAGCATGCTGGGTAACCTCAGTGACATCACTCACCCAATGGGCTCAACATGGCCGCCACGCCTTCGCCGATGTTCTTCAGGAAGTCCACGCTGGTCTGAGAGGCTGCAGAGGTCAGAGGTCATCAGTGACAGAGGCTCAGACGCATTGATTAAATTATTTTTAAACAAACATCACCTACCAGAGGGGGCGCTGTTGTCAGCAGGAGCCRCGGAGGGCCCGGCCTGCTCCTGGTTCTGGGGTTGGGCCTGGTTCTGGCCCCACATACAGTGTCTCATTTTCTTTGTCCACTTCCCGCGAGGAAACCACTGCTGACAAAAACAAACAAAAACGTGTCAATATCTAAATCGTGATGTGGGCGGAGCCAGTGGAAGTGATCCAGTGAAGATCTGAGATGTGGGCGGAGCTTGTTCTAGGTTTCACAGTTCGACTCCAGCTATGAATGACCCTATTTCATCTACAAACATGAGGCTTCATTGTTTAAGTTTATGTTTTGAGTGGAAACTAAGATTAGGCCACGCCCACATCACTCTGCTCCAACAGGTGGACCCTCACCTGCAGCGGGTGCCAGATGGGCAGCAGGGCGTGCTCCGTGTGCTTCCCCTGGGCCTGGCAGGTGGAGCACAGGTCGTAGTTCAGACACACTGAACACTTGAAGCGGGTCCCGACCACGGGGCCCTCGCAGCCGTCACAGGTGACGTTTGGGTGGAGGGCAGGGGGCGGGGCCATGTGAGGAGGGGGTCCATGAGGAGGAGGAGGGCCGAAGGCGAAGGGAGGGAAGGCGTGAAGGGGGAAGTCCCGGCGGTGCTCCTTCTTCTCTGTAAAAATAAATAAATCAATAAAACTTTATTCAGACACAGCAGGACTCAGTAAACAATCCTCTGACGGAACAAACAAACAACGTGTTTACCTCTGATGTAGAGGCGGAACGTGGCGTCCTTCACGAGGGTCAGACCCATCATCAGCTCGTCATCAGAGGAGAACGCCACCAGGTCTCCATCTTCATCTGAAACATCAACACAAATACTTTGTTTTTCAGCTTCATGTTTGTAAACAAAAACTCATCAGAAAATAAAATTAAAATATAACATTTCGATCAGAGCGACATGGATTTGGGTCAATTCTGGAACTTCTAGAAGTTCCTGCAGCTCAGTTTTCTCAGTCTAACTTTATAAAACATTTAACTCAGCCGCAGCGCTCAGATCAGGTGAACGGTCACGTGACGCTCACCTTTGTAGTACAGGTTGAAGGAGGCCGAGTTCAGGTTGGAGAAAACGGATCCCACCTTCGTGTTCAGGTACTCAAAACTGGACGACACGTCCTGGTCCACCGCGAACCGGCGGATCTCCTTCACCTGTTCGTCCTTCCCCAGCAGGTAGGCCTTCACCGTCACCGACATCGCGAACACAACAGAACTCCGGGCAGACACACGATCCAAACAAAGTCCGAAACTTTGTGACGCAGCGGTAAATTGTCGGCAGTATTTATGTTTACTTCCGCCCTGGTGCCGTAGGGTGACGTGATGACGTACGCGGGCCTGCCATTGGTCGGCTCAGCTCGGTTGACCAATGGGTGGCCGCGGAGTGACTAAGCGGAAATCCAGTCAGGGGCGTTCCATCGAGTCACGTGATCTAAGTCCCGCCCACATCCAGAAATGCGATCATCTCAGAAAATCGTCTAGTCACTCACTTTTAAATGCTTTTATAAAAAGTTAAATACTTATTTTTTTCTTTTTAAAGAAAAAAAATTATGAAGTTTACATTTTGTATAGATAAATCACCTAACGTATTTATTTTTCATATTTAATAAATAAAACAGTTTGTGATTTTTGTTTAATATGTGCATGTTATTTAATTTATCAGTATGTTTTTACGTGTTATCTTATTTTTTTAAGAGTTTTTTTTAATCTTGTTTGATTTCTTGTGGGAGTAAACAAAAATGCTGAGTCGTGTTTTGTCAGCATTCCCACTGATCAGACTACAACAATTTTGATTTGGTGAAAACTTTTCCAACAAGTGAAACTCAGCGTTCAATAAAACCAGAACAACAAGAAGATTAAAATAAAATTAATTCGCTTAACCCGATTCATCCTTTCTGAATCACAGGGGTATTAAAATAAAGATTAAAAAATTAATTACAATTTTATATATTTTTTTAAATGAATGTAAATCACCCACTGCCTTTTGTGACAAAGAGTTTTAGACAAAAATGTGCTGAGAATAAGGACTGACATTTGACAAACTACAAATGTTGTAAAGGATCTGATGCAACACACTGATCACTCAGGATGACTCAGCAACTTCACCAAACTTTAGCTTCATGTTTGAGAAGCTGCGAGACGTGGTGGCCATCTTTAATGGGGTTGATTCCATTATTAACTTCTGGTTAATTATATCTAAATATTTAACATTTATGCCTCCAGCTTTTTAAGGATCTGAGTTTGTTTACAAATTATAATTTTTTTCAGTTTTACAGCTTTTCACCTGAATCAGAGTGACTCCTGTTAGTAAAACAGGTSAGCTGTTTCTGCCTTTAATCAAGTTTATATTTAGTTTTGTTTGAATCTATTGTTTGTTTTCTTTGCTTCCAGGTGTTTCCAGCAGCGACATCACCGTCAGCCAATCAGCAGCAGTGTGTGTCACGTGACGCTGAGTCAGTCTGAGGTGACTCAGAGTCACAAGGTGAAAGTGTTTTTGTTTTCAGAAGTCACAGAGGGGAAAACCCGCTGCTGGGTCTGGATCTAGAACCAACCAGAACCTTCTGAAGAATCCTGCTTTTTCTTCTAAATCWGGATGATTTTAATTCCCACGTTAAAAAATGTTTTCTGTTGTCACTTTATCGCACCGGAACAACTCGGAAACACTTTGTTTAAAAATAATGCAGGAAAACTGATCCATGCATTCAGGCTGGACTGTTGGGATTTTTTAAAATCTTGGTTTTGACCTAAAAGTTATGAACAGAATTGRTGACAAAGGACAACYTTGGTTGAGTCCAACTCTCACCAGAAATAAGTCTGACTTRCTACCATCAATGTGGACCAAGCTCTGGACCAGAATCGCCTCGAAGCCGTACCAAACTCTTTTCCCATGGCCTCTCTGAACTCCTCCCACGCTCSAGTTTTTGCCCCAGTGACCCTTTCTGATGGGCAATAAAAATAATTTTATTCTAAAATGACAGAATAAAAATCTGAACAGCGTTCTAGTGGGCGGAGCCTGCTGTATATATGATATATACATAATATACAAGATCAATCACTCATTAATATAATTTTATTTCATTTTATTAACAAGAATTTGATCAATAGAGAAAATAATAAACTGTTCAAAATCATTACATCTGCCTCTTCTTAAAATGTCGTTTTTAAGTTGAGTTTAAAGACAAAGAAAATCCAACAAAAGCCTCATTAATGATGTCAGGAGTCAGCTGTGTGATGATGTCATCGTGATGTCAGATGTACAGGTGGTACATGCTGCGAGTCAGTTTCTTCCTGCAGGTGAGACAGGTCTGTGATATCAGTGTGTGATGATGTCAGCTGTGTGATGATGTCATCGTAATGATGTCATTGTGATGTCAGATGTACAGGTGGTACACGCTGCGGGTCAGTTCTTTCCTGCAGGTGGGACAGCTGTGTGATGATGTCATCATGATGTCAGATGTAGAGCGGGTGGTACATGCTGCGGGTCAGTTTCTTCCTGCAGGTGGGACAGGTCTGTGATGATGTCAGAGAGTCTCTCAGACACTGGCTGCAGAACACGTGGCCGCACTTCGTGGAGACGACCAATCGGCCGCTTTCGATGATCTGCGGAGGAAACGACAGCCAATCAGAGCGCAGGACCGGCCTGCCGGGCCGCTAAGAAGCAAAGCCGTTCACCTGTGATCCCTCATGTCCTGGATCTGAGCCAGACCACAGAGACGAACCCAGCTCAGGGGTGTCAAAACCTTAGCATGCTAAACAGGAAGTTGCAACATCAGATCATCTGTGTTCTTAAACGTCATGTGAGAGTCTCACCTCAGAGTACAGGTCCAAACAGATGGGACAGCTGATCAGACCCGGAGTCACCCTGAAACACACACACCTGAGAGTTACACACACACCTGAGAGTTACACACACACACACCTGAGATTTACACACACACACCTGAGATTTACACACACACACACCTGTTTTACTGTCTCACCTGAACCAGATAACTAGTCCAGGATCAGTGTATTACCTGGATCAATCAGCAGCAGGGATCTGTCTATTACCTGGATGTGCGTGTGGAGGACACTGTGGCGGTGTGAAGAACAGGGGGCGTGTCTTCGTCGTCATCACTGCTGAGCACGTAGCTCTCACCTGGTTGGACTCTCCTGTCCTGAGGACCTGAATGAGGACAGAGGAATGTGGAGCTGCTCCTTTAGAGAACCAACACGACATTAAATCTCTGCAGCTCAGAGTTTTACCTTCGTCCACCAGCTGSAGCACAGGAGCAGGAACAAGAGAAGAAGAGTTACATCACTTCCTGTAACAACAGCTAACTTCCTGTGTGTGTGTTTGTTACCAGAACGGAGTCGTTGCCGGTCGTCAGGTCGACCACAGCAGCTTCTGATCCCTCGCAGGTCAGATCCACCACCTCCTCCTCCACACCTGAACACAAACATCCAGTCATGTGACCACAAACACAACAACTACAGTGATTATCGTACTGACCGCCATCGGCGCCGTCCACCACGTCAATGGGTTCTGTGGGAGGGGCGGGGTCGGCGCCATTCGCCGTCCTGCAAGTCGTCCTTTTGGCGTTCGTTGCTCTGCTCATCTTGGTGCCGGTTCTGGAGACCAGAGGGCTTCCTGCGGACCTTCTCCTCCTCTGAGCCTGAAACACAAACACGTCAGCAGCAAAGCTTAGAATAGTTTTACATTTTTCATTTTAGTTTAGTTTTGTTTTGTTGTGACTTTTTTCTTTTAACTCAGTTTTTATTAGCTGTTATTGCATTTTTTAATGTTTAGTTTTGGTTTAGTTTAGTTATTAGTTCTAGTATTAGTTTTTTATAGTTTGAATAAACATATCAATGTATCCTCCAGCTTGTGATGTTCCTGTGAGTTAAAGTTTAACTAGTTAATTATTAGTTAAATCAGTCCATTACAGCAACAACTTACTAAAATAATTGTGTAACTCCATTTTATTAACTAAAAGCTTCAGTGATTATTTCAGGACGATGACAACAGTTTGTCTCCAACCTGTTGTTTGTTTTTCATGGAGCTGCTGAGAGAAGCTARCGTGTCAGATAGTCACAGTTAGCATCTTGTGTGACTTTGATTCATGCAGTTTTTCTCTTCAGAAGTWTTCCACCTGTTTTATCACCTGTTTCCACTACAAAACACTTGGTTTGATTTTTCTCTCCCAACTTTCATCATTCAGCAGGTGATGCTGAGCAGCAGCAGACTGTAAACAAGTGTTGTTACAGATCATGAGGTGCTGTAAGACGACCACAGCTCATGTGAAACTACTCAATTTGAAAAAAAAAAAAAGATCCACATGACTCAAAATAAATTGACAAACACTAGAACTACGGATATTTTATCTGTAATTTCAGTTAGTTTGAGTTAGTTTTGAAAAGAAAAACGTACAGTTTTAGTTAGTTATTTTTTTTCCTTTTATTACAGCTTTTATTTATTTTAGTTAACAATAAGGTTTTTTTCAATTTCAGCTTTATTTAGTTAGTTTTAATTAACTGTAATGACCCTGGTCAGCAGTGGGCGGAGCCTCAGCCACCTGCTGACCTCTGATAACCAGACAGGAAACTTACAGAGCTGCTCATTTCACCACAGGAGCCGAGCAAAACGAGGATCCCGAACACACCAAAGTTTTCTGCAAGACAGAAATGTACTTAAACATCACGACAGTCTGTAATTTATCACTTAGCACAGATCTGATTTTATTTATAAAAAGGTATTTTCTCTGTGAGCATGTGCACATAACACAACGACAGGAAAAACTGAAAACTTTTAAGACTTGGCGCCATTAAATAAACTGAATAGAACTGAAATACGTCACATTTTCCAACATTTATATAAATATTCACCAATTAAACAAAATGTTACATTTATGAAGAGCTGGTTCCAGTTATTATAACAATTAATGATAAAACTGACTGATTGTCATTGTTGTATAAAAGTACCCCAAAGTAATACTTGAGTAAAAGTACAAGTATCTTATCATGAAATTACTTTGGTCAAAGTTAAAGTCTCCTTTAGGAATATTACTTGAGTAAAAGTCTTAAAGTATCTGATTTTTTTGTACTTAAGTATCAAAAGTAAAATTTCTGGTATAAAATAAACTTTAGTATTAAAAGTAAAAGTATTCATTAAAAAGGAGTGTTTAGGTTTTCCAAAATGACATTTATTGGGAGGCGAACTTTAAAAAAAGGTATATTTATAAAGGCGTGCGGCTGTGATGGATTGTGCACAATTTGATGTCAGAATGTTGTATATTTATAGTTTTCATACAACTACACTTAAATTCACTCTTTCCAGGAGGCACAATTCATCAGGATAATAGATTATTTTAACAATAATGAGTCGAAATGAAATAAAAAGACTTTGTACTTACCTTAAAAATGTAAGGAGTAGAAGTAAAAAGAAGGGTGAAAAATATTTACTCAAGTACAGATACACAAAAATTCTACTTAAGTACAGTAATAAAGTATTTGTACTTGTTTCTTTAAAACTGTTGTTAGCTAAAAACACCTTCGTTGCTACATGAAGGTCTTTCCAATATGGCGGCACAAGATCTCATCTCGCAAGCTAATGTAGCTCATTCCGAGTTTCAAGATTCCGACGTTTCTCTGAGCTCAAAGTCCGAAAACCCACCGCTTCAACCTGATCCAGTCACGAACTACTTCAAGCTTTAAACCACCTACTTTTAAAATGTAGAAACCAGGTCGCCGCGGCTCAGCTTGGAGCTACAGCTAAGCTCAGTTTCACAGGGAAACTATTTGTGGCGCGACACCTGTAGCTAACGGCTACACGTTAGCTTCATGTCACTCACCGTCAGCAGGTGTTTCCGGGTGGATTACAGGATTGGTTCACACCTGGAGATAGTTCCGATTTAGACAGACTGGAGTCGATAAAACGTGATGATGATCAATAAAACCGAACCGAACAGCCAGACTCGGTGATGTAGCTTAAATTTCCGTTTGACTCTTCTTCTTCTGTCGTAGCAGGAGCTGCAGACAGGCTGTTGGCTCATTTCCGCCCCCTGCTGCCTAAAAGCTAAAACTACATCTTTTTATTATTATTACACAGGAAATAAATTAAAATTAAGTCAATTATATTTAATTATTTACTCCGAGAACTGGATGCACATTTATAAATCTATAATAATGTATTTATATTGTTTAAAATTATAATTGATTAATAATTATTAATACTGTATGTTTACGTTTATAATTCTAGTTATTTTGTACAGTGTAAGTCTATTCTATTTTTTACATAGACCAAGTTCTTTTATATGTATTTTTAATGTTTCCTTTTATATTTTTAGTATGTTTTTATATTGTGATCGGCATATAGGTGGGGATTTGCACGCTTGTGCTGTGATGTGACAATAAATCTGAGTTGGATTGGTACTTTGTGAAGTAATTTCATTGTATCGCCACATATAACCTCTGAAAAAAGAGAATACGTTTAAAAAATGAATAAAAATACATTTTAAAATATTTATGGCTTCATGATTTTGGTTGTTTTTTTTATTGCAACTTTAAAAAACAGAGCTGTTTTTAGAACCTGCACACTTTTAGCCCCATCATTCCCAGAAACTCATCATTCCAGACATGAGTTCAACTGGATTAACTAAACCTAAACCAGCTCCATACTGGACCTGACCTGGGCTTCATTCAGATCTGAACTCATTCCAAACGGTATTTTAACACGGCCTAAAATTAATTTAAACTAGACCTAAACTGGACTAAACCTGAGCAGGATTTGTTCAGAACCTCAGAACTAAACCTGCACTGGATCTCAACAAAATCGATTCACAAACTGGCCTTTTTCAAAATAAAAACTTCAAGTTCAACAAAAACCTTTTCCTCAACGTTCAGATTTTATTTAGAGTAAAATCAAAACAAATCAAGAATCTAAAATCAGCAGCTGATCAAAAATTAATTACAAATAAATCCATTTCTAATCAGTAACTATTTATTCTGTCATCATCAGTTTCCTGTTTTCACAAYAAAAGCAGAAATAATAAATAAAAAAAAACCAGAGAGAACCAGAACCGGGTCGGACATGTTCAGGTGGATCAGTGCCTTTTAAATACAAACAGGAAGTAAACATCCAGTTGAGTTTGCGTTTCGGCCTCGGCGCTGCGTGGYGCCCCGGTGCATCATGGGAGTTCTGGGCTGTAGGCGGGGACATCCGGCACGGCCCGGCAGAGTCTGCTTTGAGGCTGCGCCTTCATAAACGCCAGAAGCTGAACGTCCCACTGAGCCAGGACACCTGAACGCAGCACAGCTGTGGAGACAAGCAGATGTTTACCTGTGGACCGCTCACCTGTGGACCGCTCACCTGTGGACYGCTCACCTGTGCGCGTGTTTACCTGCGCCGCAGCTTTAAGTAGAGCTGAAGCTTCTCTGATCCACCTGGTTCATCTTCAGGTGCGTGTCGAGGATCTGGAACATCTCCTGGATGTTTGGGACGTAACCGGACTGCAGCTTCGACCAAACGGGAACATCTGAGGGGGACGACAAACAGTGTCGCACCAGGAAGTGACATCGCCTCTCGACAACTAATTTAACTTTACTGACGGCACAGAAATACGACAAAAAAAAAAATTTCTGTACTTAATACAACTTCAACACAAAGAAATCTCAATTTAATCAGTTATGTAAGACATTAACGAAAGAATTTTTATTTCTTACCCAAAATATTATAATCTACCTAAAGTACCTGCTGCTCCATTGTCAAATATTCAAAATGTATTATTGGTAGAGAAAAAATTCAAAAACGGTTTTATTAGAACATACCTCACAGACAGTCTCTATCCAGGAAAACTAAACAATAATTAGCTTGAATTTAATTGTGTTTGGATGAGAAGTATAAATATATACCATTCTGACACACTATTAGCTTGTACACAACCCATCACAGCTGCACAACGTTAGAAAATATAGTTTTTGGAGAAGTCACCTCCCAATAAATGTCATTTTGTAAAATCTAACTGCTCACTTTTACTCAGTACTTTTAC